TTCGAAAGAGGAATCAATGCTCTTTACAGCAGTACCTCGGCATGAATTACTCTGGAAAACTTCAAGAGTTAGAAGCAGTTGAATAAAATCAGTCAAGATTGGCATTTTTCGAGCTGGGTCACGAAAAATTCTGGAAGTATTTTTATTTGATAGAGAAAATTATGCTCATTACGATGGTACCTTTTTCATGAATTAAAACGAAAAAGATCGAGAGTTAGGAGCAAATAAACAGAATTTCTTCAGTTTTGCAATTTTTGAGCATGCTCAAAAAAGCCTAAAAACTTCACAGAAAAGGCGGGAAAGTCATGAACATGGGTTTTATGACCTTTTCTTTCTAGCTGAGTGAAAATCGTGCTAATCGAGAGCAATTTTGATTTTCGTGAAAAACGCAGGCACGAAAATCCGAAAAAATCACGGAAAACAAAATTGCTTCCGATTGGCACGATTTTCGCTCATCTAGAAAGAGAATGTCACAAAACCCATATTCATGACTTTTCCGCCTTTTCTGTGACGTTTTAAGGCTTTTTTGAGCATGCTCAAAAATTGCAAAACTGAAGAAATTTTGTTTACTTGCTCCTAACTATCGATCTTTTTCGTTTTAATTCATGAAAAAGGTACCATTGTAATGAGCATAATTTTCTCTATCAAATAAAAATACTTCCAGAATTTTTCGTGACCCAGCTCGAAAAATGCCAATCTTGACTGATTTTATTCAGCTGCTTCTAACTCTTGAAGTTTTCCAGAGTGATTCATGCCGGAGGTACTGCTGTAAAGAGCATGGATTCCTCTTTCGATTACATGTAATCCTAACGAAATCCATCGAGTGTCAAGGAAGTTATGATTTTTTGAAAATGATGCGCAAGAACTTTCGGACCAGCCTAATATATATATATATATATATATATATATATATATATATATATATATATATATATATATATATATATATATATATATATATATATATATATATATATATATATATATATATATATATATATATATATATATATATATATATATATAATATATATATATATATATATATATATATATATATATATATATATATATATATATATATATATATATATATATATATATATATATATATATATATATATATATATATATATATATATATATATATATATATCAGGCTGGAAACTAAGTTTTGCAATTGGTTTCATAACTTCACTCTCATTCAACATGGCGCACTCAAACTTTGGCATTATGTAGAATGCAGTGTGAGCTACAAGTGAACACAAATTGTCTAAATTTTGAACACGAAATAGAAAAGTTTCAGGCGTTTTCCGAGAACTAGTGAGATTTGAGAATATTTGGGGTTTCAAGCTAAAATAAAGCCTTTTTCAGCCTAGACCATGCGCAGTAATCCGGATTCGCCTGCAAATTATTGCTGGAGGTTGACTCCTTTGGTCTATTGAGAAAGAAACAAAATTTAGGGAGATGTCGAGATTTGGCGTCCTCATAAAGTCGAACGAGTCGATGTATGCAAGAGCTGCTGGGGACGACCGTCAGTGACTAAAGAGTCCGAAGCTCAAATTCCGCCAAGACTTTACATAGTAAGGTTATTTGACCTGCCAAACGCGAATATCGCATTCATTTGTTGAGTCAACGCCTTTTTCCTTGTTTAGGGTGAGACCCCATATCGTACACCTACAGTAATCCTATAAAAAGGCCCTTATCACGCTGTTTCACTATCGTTTTCGTGATCAGCATGTCGGATAACATCCCTATGCCAAGTTTCAGCCAAATCCGTCAAACTTTGAATTTTTCCCCTTCATACCATGCACCTACCGTAACCCTCAGTGCGACGTCAGAATTTGGTAGGACAGCAGCTGCGCTTGTAGCTTACATAACAACCAACGTAATGGCAAAATTTGAGTGCGCCACGTTGAGTGAGAGGGAAGTTATGAGACCAGTTGCAAAACTCAGTTTCCAACCTAATATATGTATATACATATATATACAGGGCTTTTCAACCTGAGAGTCGCAAGTTTCGCTTGCGCGGCTCCTCAACGCGGCCGCCTCGCTCAGGCCGCGCGCGGCGTTTGCTGCGTATCGCCCGGATTTCGCCAAGCTTCAGTCGACGCGCAGCCAGCGCCACGAACGCTGCGCGGACCTAAGCGTGGCGTCCTAGCGGGGCGGGTGGGACATTCAGGTTGTAAAGCCCTGTATGTATATATCAGTGGCGTACCGAGGGGGGGGGGGAGCGCGCCCCCCCCCCCCGAAAATGGGTCGCGAAATTTTTGAAAGTTACTTATATGGGTTATAAAAATGTGCAAGTGACTTGTTTATTTTTGTAAATATTTGAAATAATTTTTAAAATTTTTTAAAAATTCTAATTAGCCTTGTAAAAAAAATTTTTCGGGGGCGTGGCTGACGCCACGCACCCTTTTTCCAGATTTTAGGGGTCGGGGACCCGCAAAAGTTCTTAGAAGCACCCAAAAAACTTTCGGAGTGCGTGGCTGACGCCACGCACCTACTTTAGAAAACAATTTTGTCGCGACCCCCCCCCCCCCCCCGAGCCGGAATTCTGGGTACGCCACTGGTATATATATATGTATATACCCTCGATATCACCCCATATGTCTTCCCTCAACATGACGTGGATTACGTGGCTTGATGAGGCGCCGCCTCGCCTCGGGCTTGCGCCACGTTGCGTGCGCATCTTCGGCGTGATGTGGCAACAAGAAGAACGTGGAAAAGCCTGCGCCACGTTGTGTTGAGCGCCACGTCGCGCCAAATGATGCGCTCGCAACGTGGCGCGAGGCCGAGGCGAGGCGGCGCCTCATCAAGCCACGTAATCCACGTCATATTGAGGGAAGACATATGGGATGATATCGAGGGTATATATATATCAAAGGCGTACCCAGGATTTCGGTTCGGGGGGGGGGGGGCGACAAAAATTTTTTTCTAATGAAGGTGTGTGGCGTCAGCCACGCACTCCGAAAATTTTTTTGGGACGTTTCCCAAAATTTTTCCGGGCTTCTGACCCCAAAATTTCAGAAAAAGGGGGCGTGGCGGTAGCCACGCCCCCGAAAAAAATTTTTTTATAAGGCTAATTTGAATTTTTAAAATTTTTTAAAAATTATTTTAATTATTCACAAATAAAAACGAGTCCTCTAGCACATTTTATAACACATTTAAGTAACTTTTAAAAATTTCGCGACCCATTCTCGGGGGGGGGGGGGGCGCGCCCCCTCGGTACGTCACTGATATATTAGGTTGAACCGAAAGTTCGTTCGCACCATTTTCAAAAAGTCATAACTTCTTTCCGTCACGACGATTTTGCGCAGTTTAAGTTTTATTAGAAAGCGTAAAGCATGTAGTTTCCAATAGTCTCCTGGCGACTTTCCAGCATGTTCAGATTGCAGAGATAAAAATGAAAGAACGAAAACATCCGAAATTCGGAATTTTTGAGAAACAGTTCCAAAAATCTAGAAACTGCGCGATAAAATCCAGAAAAGCCATTATCCTAATTTTTCTTATATTTGATTACTAATTGAGTTAAGTTTGTGCTGATTGAGCTCTTCTTTCAAAAGTTATGATTTCTTTGAACAAAATTCCGAAAAATTACTTTCCTAAGAATTCTAAGAAATTGATTTTTCGGCATTTTTTTTTCAAAAAATCATAACTTTTGAAAGAAGAGCTCGATCAGCACAAACTTAACTCAGTTAGTAATCAAATATAAGAAAAATTAGGATAATGGCTTTTCTGGATTTTATCGCGCAGTTTCTAGATTTTTGGAACTGTTTTTCAAAAATTCCGAATTTCGGATGTTTTCGTTCTTTCATTTTTATCTCTGCAATCTGAACATGCTGGAAAGTCGCCAGGGAATATTGGAAACTACATGCTTTACGCTTTCCAACAGAACTTAAATTGCGCAAAATCGTCGTGACGGAAAGAAGTTATGATTTTTTGAAAATGGTGCGAACGAACTTTCGGTTCAACCTAATATATATATATATACATATATATATATATATATATATACATATATATATATATCGTAATCTGTGTTGAACTTCTTGTAGTATGAAGGATGTTTGTTGCTTATACTTTTTTCAATAAAACGACCATCAAAATATGTACCAGCAAATTTGTGTTCAGCAAAGCAAGAGCATCACTGTCGCAGTGGCAGCACGAGACCCGAAGAGCGCTGTAAACAGCGGTTTGTATGGGTTGTATAGCAGGGAGGCGGGAGAGACATGATCAGCCACCCTCTCAAGGTATTCCGCTCGCCCGCTTTATTCTCTCTAGCGCGCGGGCGGCGTGCCTTTAGAGAAGGGCCGGCGAAAGGCATGATCGCCCGTCCGGTAGAGGCACTGCACTGGTCCGAATTATTGTCCGACAAGGGAGGTCCGATTAGTCGGAATGGCCTTTCCAAACAAATCCTATACCACTTTAAAGAGCATCAAACAATAATTCCAAATCTGACTGATGTCATTGGCTGCCGAGCGCTTCTGCATGCCACGTCATGAACACTTTTTTGGTGCAAAAAAATGAACGCATAATCTCGGTAAAATCAAATTTTACGGTATTTTCAGCGCTCAAATAGAGCAGTTTTAATTATGAGTATTTTGAACAGAAGGTATTGTTCAAATGGAGTGCTCTGATAATTACCATTGGACCATTTGAGCAATTTTCACAAATTTTGTGCTAATCATGCATTCAATTTTCCAATTCAAAAACGCTATTGAGACATCCAGGGGCTCTCGACAGATAGGGACGACAGATTTGGAATCAGCGTTCGATGCTCTTTAAAGTCGTCCCAATTTCGTAAGAGGCCACTTTGACCAAACAAACCTCCCTTGTGAGTACGCTCCTACTGACTTACAACGACCCGAAGAGTTGTAGTAAGTATTCAGGCTTAAGCAATTTTGGTTAAAAGTTACGCACGTCACGCATGGCAGTGTACAAGATACGGCCCTAGTAGTGCACTGCCAGTTAGCTCAGCTGTTTCTGAAGAAAATAATGTAAGCAATTTTATTACTTTGTGATATGCATTTCGAGCACCAATGATATGTGATGAAATTGAGATGATATGTGCCAAGTCGATCCATGATGTTACGGAAAAACGAAATCATACAACAGTCCACACTTCAAGCAAGAGATCAAATCCTTCAAATGATCAGTAGTCGTCAACATCCCGTAGATCTGAAAAATCTGAAATAGATACGACTCACAAGACAACAGTTACGAATGGAACGGTCGAAATACACGTAACATACAAAGGTCATCGTAATCGTCCTCGTCCGATTGTTCAAAATGAAATTCATAGCCGTTTGAGCTTTCATTGTCAGTGATTGGCTCCACTTCTGCAACTTGACAATTAAATTCTCTTGGAAGAAGACAATCAAAGGTATTACCTGACGGAAAAATTTCCACTCGAGGTCCACTGCTATGGTCAGTTAGCACGGAACACACTGGACAGCGACACTGTTGATCACGAAAGGTAATTGTATCAATTTCTGTAAGTGATGTGGCAACTAAACACTCAATAACTTAAAGCTCGACACCTACTAGAAAAATGAGACAAAGCCCCAACGGCAGGATCATCATCGGAATGAAAACAATAATCTTCGAGGTCTAGAATGACCGATCTGCGAACGTTCGAGGTTAGAAACCTATAAAGATGCGCGCATTATGTCGAAATAGTCAAGATCAAATTAAATGACTAGATCCGAAAAAAAATCGAAGGCATTTATGACGAGCCTACCTCACAAAGGCTGCAGCTTGTTCTTTCTTCTTGAAAGAGATGCTGCTTATCAGAGGATGAACACTAGAACCCCTTGTTGTCGATGTGTGAAACTTATCAGAGCCAGCGTCGCAGAAGATAATCACCTGCATCGCTGTTATAACGCACTTACAATGGTCAAAGCAAGCTTCTCGACACTTTTCTTGAGAGTAAGATTTGTGTTTATGAGTAAGCAACGCTTAATTTTCAATATAGTGATTGACACTATGCAGCTATACGAAGACGACAAGACTTTCAAAAGATCTGTGCTGCAACTTTCCAGCTCAGTAAGCATGACGCTTCTACTTGCATGGCTAAAAAGCATAACAAATGTAAATCTTCGGCCACACATGCCCCTGTAGCTGCTGTTACTGCTGTTTAATAATGTTCTATACCGATTCTCATGATGGATAGTGAAGGGATAGAAAAGTCGGCGTCCTCAGCTCTCTGCGGAGATGCGCCAAACGCATTCTACTTCACATTCAAAAAGGCTACTGATGCGGGTAGGTCTTTTACAGCGACTTGCGCGGACAGCCATTACTAAGCCAGTTCAATATTCACAACACACTCCTGCACCAGTTTACCACTTCGGGGAAGTAGAGGGCTTCAATGGCCTGTGGACGTGATCGGAGTTGATCCGACCTGGACATAACGACGTCTCCTGACACCATGCCAATCGGTAGCATCAATTATGGCGGTAACAACGGTAACAGAAGTGAGAGCAGTAACAGCAGTGAAGCGGGAACAACATAAACAGCATTAGCACTACTGATATATTGGTCAAAGCCTAGGGAATAAGCATCTACTTCCATCGCGCGATCGGAACAGCCCTTTTATTGTAATTTTGCGAAAAAAAAAGGAAGAGAATTCAAGCAAGAAGTTATCCAAAAAAAGAAAAGATAGAATGTAATCCGAATTTCGTTCGGAATTTGGAGGCGAAATATATGCATACACATGGAACTTACCCGCACATCACCATATTCGTCTGCAAGCGCAATCTTATATGTCCTCGACAGGAGACGATGGACCGCACGATTGAACACTCTATTCAAGGCCTATAAAAGGAAGGAAGTGCTAGTCAACAGGTTGATCATGAGATATTGCCGAATAATTACACATATGACGAGTATCCAAGCAGATCTGATGTCGGTAGACCACAAAGCGTTCAAAAACGGATAACGGTGCAGAAAAAAAGATGAGAGCATGCCCTTTGTTCTATTTGTACCATTACAAGTATCCTGTGATGACAAAATGAACGACAGACTTCCAGTCCGCTCGATAACTGACCGTTGTAATTCGCTAGAAAGCTATGTTCACAACTAGAGCAGGGCATACATCAAACATCGCCTCGACAAGTCAACTGTTAGGCCTTGGACAGAGTTCACGCGATTTGATCGTCGCGATTCAGTCGTTACAAGACAACTGTTATGAGTTCATTGTACGCTGATCAGCTTGCATTTCGGTTGTGATACTTTTCCAGCTCGAAATTTTTGAATGTAAAATGAAAATGAATGAAAATCGCGGCGATTTAATCGCGACGATCAAATCGCTTGAACTCTGTCCGAGGCCTTTTAGGCCGAGCACACATCACGCGATTTCTTCACCTCGCGTCTCCCCTCAAGACTATTGTTACAAGTCCATTGCATGCAATCATCTTGCATTTCAGTTGGATTAGTTAGTGCGATTAGTCGCATCACACTATCACATCCGAAATGCGAGATGATCGGCCTATAATGGACTTGTGACAGTTGTCTTCTAAGAAGGTAAAGAGATGAAATTGTATGCCCAGCCCTCGTCGCAACCGTGCGTCTGTCGTAACGTAATGGAAAGTCCCATCATGCGAAAGAGTATTTCGTGGTCAATATGCCGGAACCCCCTAACGAGTTTGCACAATTCAAGACTCTAAAATTATGATGCCCAAATACAGGAATAGCGCCAAAAAAGCTCTACATGGAGACGGAATACCATAGAAATAAGCTCGATGCACATGATTCATTGTAAAACACGTGATCCGTAAGCTACTGTCATTCTAAGTGAAGGTGGCATGATACATGAATATCCGGCTTAGGGGCTTAAAGGAAATCTGCGAGTGCAATTTCAAAAGTCCCTACTAGCTTATTAGCTTTTGCAGTTCTTTTTTTCTACTCTGTCTTACTCCGTCACGCTCGGAAATTTGGAAATGATAGTAAACTCGTGAAAAGCCTAATAGCCAAGGAAATCAGATGTATGGTTGGCAGACCATGAGACCCCACGAATGCGTCACACAATGAGCGGAAGTGAGTCCCAACGCAAAAAAAAACAGCGTAACAACTGTCTTTAGTCAAGATGGTTATCAAAAAGCTTCGATCCAAGGATTTAGCAAAAAGTTCGTGTTTTCACAAAAATACCTTGGCAAGAAGAACAAAGCCAAGACAACTAGCCGCTACTAGAAAAAAAAGTAGGTAAATTAAAGAAAATCTTACCGCCAAATTTGTCCAGTGAACACGTGGATCATTAACAAAGCATTTATCCGCTAAACGCTCTATGATTACCAAAGCAACATCCTCATTCAGTACGCGGTTTCTGACTTCCAATTCCATGTCAGTTCTGGAAGAAAACTCACTTAACCCATTGACAACGATGTGGGCCACTCGTGGCCCACACCTCTTGAAAAGTCAAATTCTTTGTAGGTCTAGTATCTTTTCCACATACTGATATTTTTTCTAATTTTTGCACCCTTGGGACCTGTAGGTTCTGTCGTTCAAGAAAATGTTTATAGTTGTTAACAAAACGACCTTGCATTTCGTAAATAACCACGAAACTCGTCCCAAAGTGCTGCGCTATGCAAAATTAGGCGTCGTCGTCAGGCTGCGTTCATACTGATTCCAAAGTCCGGGAACAGTTCCAGCACAGCGCTTGAAATGAGCGCTGTGCTGAAACTGCTCCCGGATTTCGAAATCAGTCTGAACGCAGCTTCAATGGGCTAATTAACACCTCCAAAAAAGAGCGATCAAAGACAAAGACGAAAAGAGCAGATACCAGAAGCACACAAAAGTGCAATGCTCAAACCAGCATTCCAACCAGCACAGCGGTCGATCGATATAAACCAGGGCCCGGCGTGCGCTGGTTTGGCGAATTTTTTGCAAAAGAAGTCCCCATAGTTTTTTAAATTTCTGCAAAGCTCCCACTGACGCAAACTAGTAAGAAAACAACAACGATCCGCAACAACAACAAACAGCAACAACAGAAACAAATGTCGCCAGTTCAAAGGAGGCTTTGCAGGCATGTGACTGGAGCGCCATATCTGTGGTCATCTCCAAGAATTGTTCCCATTTGAACCATTAACGTGGCTGTCTTTCGAGTTTTGAGTCAACTTCGAATAGCCTCAAATTTCCTGGAGTTAACGTGTTAAAACAATCGAAAGGCAACCACGTTGAGGTTCATGTAGAACAATTCTGGGGGATGCACGATATCAATGCGTATGCTTACACTATTTTTGGTTCGGAAAAAGAGGACAGGCAATGGTTTGATTTACTTTCTCCACTATACCATAGAATTTTGAGCGTTCTCATATGTAAATTCTCCGAATTTCAAGCTCTGAACCAACCCAGTTGGTTCAGTGATAGTCTAGATAGAAACCAACAAACTCGGGAAGGGTAATGAAACACATACATTTTAGTAACGTGTATGTGTTTGTAAAAGGTAAGCAATCATTACCTTTTACATAATGGGTACATAGATTGGAGTAATATTGCATACACACAATTCGGTGTCATATGATTGCTTGTGCACGGGTGGAGGACTATATGTCGCCGAATTTGGAAGAGTCCTGCGCGGATTCCCTGCAGGAACGCATGTCCGCGCATGTTCAAGGGTGCGTATTTGTCGCAAATGACCGCGACCGCCCTTTTTCGGCGACATATAGTTCTCCACCCCTTGTGCACTGCAAACAAGCCAATTATTTATTTGAGCCTGGAAGTTCACGCATGTATTACAATGTGTTATTGGGACACTTGCATGCACATTTATTCTGATTGTGAGAAGACATAGATCAAAATCAAGAATGGGATCATGGGTGTTCGTCATAGTTTTTGTCTGTTTGAGGCTTCAGTCACGGCACTGAGCACTCGCGTTCGACTTCTTCTCTCTTTATTTTCAATCTGGCTTCGGTCCTGCAAAATAAAAGAGTTACGGGAGCAATTTTTGCGTTAAAGGCAGTGTCCGGGCAAAAAGTCGATTTTGAGATTTTGTGCTTACCCGGGCCTATTTGTCATGCTGAATCCGAAAATCCACACTGAAAAGCACGAAAACGGCGAAAAAGGGCTCTAACGAGGAGGGAACTTAGCAGGTGGGGGGTTTTCCCCACTGTGATCATGCTCCCAGCTTCCGGAGCCATCTTCTCGATTCCGGTTTCAAGTCAATCGCTCAGATAATCGTTGGAAGCAGGCGGTCCACAAACTCGCGCTTTTCTGCAAGCGGTCAGCAAAATTTTGGGCAGCGAGCGTTGCTCCCGTGTTCTGCCAGCGGGCAGCAATACAAAATTTTCTGCAAGCGCTCGTCAAATAATTTCTTACAGCGAGCGCTGACCAGGATTCCAGCAGGCGCTTGGACTCTTTTTACGCAATTTTGGCTTACACCGAGCAAAATGAGACTCTGTGTGGCATTGATGGTTTAGTTATCTGAGTTTGGGGTACTTTCTCTCAGCGTAAGGTACATATGAGCTGTGCGGTCCTCCACAAAGGACTGTGCGGCTCCAAATAATTTTGCATATTCTCACGGTTAGTTCGCAACAATGCGGTCACTGCGCCCCAACTAATCTATGGAAAAACCGCGATTGTTCCTCAAGCATTCGTCCAAAAGTTGGCCAACATTTTTCCGAATTTCTACAAGCGGACCATAATAAACCAGGGAACTATTTTCTCCGGTGCTCGCTTGCCCAAAAAAATAATTGTCCCGACAATTATCCGAGCGTTCGCACTTAGCCAATGGCAATGTCAGGGCGGCTAGCGAGATCGAGAAGATCGCTCCGGAAATTGGGAGCGTGAATTCACAGTGGGGAAGACCCCGCCCACTTTCTGATTTCAGTCCCGCGTTAGAGCTCTCAGCCCACGCCGGCGTGCGCTGAGGGCTCTAACGCCGTTTTTGCGCTTTCCAGTGTGGATTTTCGGATTTAGCATAGCGAATAGGCCCGGGTAAGCACAGAAATCTCAAAACTGAGTTGTTGACCGGACACTGCCTTTAATGTGTGCGAAGTCATTTTCGGGTTACGGTCACGGCACAGGCGCAAAGAGTTCAAAGACGGATTTCTTGGCCATGAATGAAACAATGTTGCCGCAGTGCAACAATCGAGACCCCTTTGTCAGTTTCCAGCAAAAAACCCATGCGCCCAGATTTGCCTGGAGACTTCTTCAAAATGGGTAAAGCATGAGCTACCTCCTCTAACTGGTCTATTTGCAATGTTAGGCATGACGTCGCCAGACCTCGAAGGCGGCTCCAACTGGAGGAGTTTGTTCCATCACCCATTTTAAATTACAGAACTTCGCTACAGGACATCGTCATCTCGTCGGTACATTGATTTTTCAAACATTGATTTTTCAAGTTCATATCTACCGACTCGTCGCGTGCCATATCACTGCGACAACGTCAGGAAGAATGCGTAGTATCAAGCGAAAGCATACATCTTTGATGGGATAAAAGAATGTATAGACGCTAAATGGATGATGCCGTTACAATTTTTGGAAGGAAGCTTGGGAGAACCACTTCTAAACCATACTAAAAAGTAGAGGGACATTTTTCTAAGTGTCCCTATGAATCTCTTCTATTGTTAGCGCATCATCTGTCAACACAAACCTGCAATTTTGGTGAAGTCTGAACCTTTCCGGTTGAATCTGATTTTGCCGTCACACGTTGTTTCATACTGCCAATGGGTTGTTTCATACTGCCGCACTGACTGCAGCAGATTGCGGCTGACTGCACTGACCGCAGCAGACCGCAATGACCGCAACGGCCGCGCAGATCGCTGCATCCTTTCGTGAAAAAGAAAACAGTCAAAACACCGTGATTTACGCCTAGGAAGTTCCCAGGTTCTATCTTACTCTTCTCAATCAAATTTTAGCGTTTGTTTGTTTTGGATGCTCATATTTCGTTTCCTCCTATTGCATATACCTGTTTTACTCTCGCTCGAATTGTCTTTTGAGGCTAGGTATATAATGTTTTGATTGTTTGGGCTACAACTATTTATCCTCTCCACCTTTACGGAAGGATGCAGCGATCTGTGCGGCCGTCGCGGTCAGTGCGGTCAGTTGCAGTCAGCTGCAGTCTGCTGCGGTCTGTTGCGGTCAGTGCGGTTAGCTGCAGTCAGCTGCAGTCTGCTGCGGTCAGTGCGGCAGTCTGAAACAACCCAGTGCTGCTGTGACTGCACAGGAAACTATCAAATCAGACCCTTTTGCGGACCATCGAAGAATTGCTTGGAGGAAGATCACTGAGGCAGGATCCGAATGCAACTCATCTCGAGCGACTGACGGCCAATGCTAGTTTCAAAACAGCTTTGCAAGAATATCTCAGAAAGTACAGGCAAGCCAAAATACTGGAAGTAGTGTAAGGAAGTCGAAGTTTGAAAAAGTGCCGACATCACCTTTGTGATTAGCACGTACCGTTGGCTGCACTACTGAACGAAGAGAAAACCCCGACTTTTCCTCGATACAAGATGGAATCTATAGCAAAGAGCTTCTACATCAACCTCTTCCGCCCATCATTGCCAGTGCCGATGCCGTCCGCATTGGAGAAGTACCTTCACGGAATCTAGCGGCTGAAAAGCGCACCGCGATTCAGACCAAGGAGACGACGGCTCCAAGAACCACATCATTTTCCCATCGAACTTCTGCGAGCCGGAGGACAATGCATGCACAAGGTTTTCGCGTCGCATCTAACATCTACCTCCAAAAAAAGGATTCCCGAGCCGTGGAGAGGTTCGAGAATCTTCCTTCTCTTCAAGAGGGCGAATGACAAAACCTCCGGAACTAACGCTCAATATGCCTGCTGAGTGTGTTGTATAAGCTTTTTATCCTCGCTCGTATATCAAAAATACGGATGAAGCCAGCCTCAAAGGCAGCTCGCATCTCGGAATGGATGGATCACATTCAGACGTCGAGTGTCAGAAGTCTGGAGGGAATGGGTCTCCTGCATTCTTGTTTAGTTTCACTACAGGGTAAACTATTAGCGCTAGTCGATCAACTTCTACAAAGACTACACGGCAACACTACGGCTATATCTTGCCTATACTCTCCATTCCCGAGCGAGAGGGGGTCTGACAAACCTGCATAATTTTGCCGAAGCTGTTCGCTGCGTTTTTTTAGTGGATAACAAATTATGGAAGGTGCAAATAAATTGGAAGAAGACTTATGAACAACGTCCTTTATGAAGATGCGGAAATGGAGCAAGAAGGCGTCTTCTTACATCAAGATATCGTCTTATCTGAGTTCTACAAGATGAAGAACGATTTGAGGGAATAACATAACAGGAGAAAAAGAGCAGCCCGAGCCGCTTTCGAGTCCTCTAAGGGAACTAGCATCAGCTGACATTACGGAGCTTTAGCCCACTATTCCACTCATCCGTTCCCCAAGCGCTTTAGGCCAAGCATTCCTCGGACGACTTCGTCAAATTGCTACTACCACGCGACTTGGCGGTTTGCTGAATATTTACAAATCCACCGTGAGCGGGTTCTAAATGCATAGGCGAATAGCTTCCGTGAGTTGTAGCAAAAGCTTCAAGGATGGCCAATGCAAAGCGCGCTTACGACCAGTTATGAAGAGTCGCTGCAGTGCCAGATCGCGCAGCAATTGCAATTGCGTGAGGTGCCTGCCTCAAGCGATTCTAATCGCTGTGATTACCTTAGGCCTTAGAAGGCGCAGCTAAGAACTGGACCGATACTGCCCAAGTCAAAAGCTCACGGTTCACCCACACAGCGCTTGAGCGCAGTCGTTTGAGATTTTGGCATAAATAGCGTCTCGTTGGAGTTCGCAGGACGAGTATGACGTTGGGAAATGAAGAACGTGGGCCGCTCATGGCCGGTCAATGACAAAGACAGATGGACGCTAAGTACTTTAAGTGGATATCTCGCGACGTACGCCCTTGAGGCAAACCATCAGCAAGATGGACAGATGTGTTTGTATGGAAGGAGAACCAGGTATACAGTGACCCATTCGAGGTAGCAGCCACCGACTAACATCAACCATCGCCTCTTCTCAGACAATCGCCGGGGGCAGGCGGGCACCGGAAAAATAGATGGCTGATTTCCCGCACCCCGCTCGCGGATTTTTTGGAAAGCAATCAGGACTTTTCTAGACCGCTTGCTGAGTTCTCGATTCCTCAGAGATCCAGCAATATATCTGCAAAAGAAAAGAGCGGAAAAAAATTCAGCAGGCGGTCTCTCAAAAACCCGCTGACTCAGCAAGCGGTCTTCCAAAAAGTCCCGATTGCTTTCCAAAAAATCCGCGAGCGGGGTGCGAGAAATCAGCCATCTATTTTTCCGGTGACCGCCTGCCCCCGGCGATTGTCTGAGTTGATGCGTCCTCGCGCAAAGGCTTGCGTGCCGGTGCAAATCGTTGCCAAATTCGCTTCGGGGACAGCTCTAAAAATGAATTGCCACGGAAGGGTCGTTGGCGCTGCGCTTTACAGGGCCCTCAAGTACAGAGTAAGCTGCATCAGCACCCGCTCCTGCGCGACTGTTTCGCCTAGACTCTGCACCTCTTTAGCGAACATGCTATCTTATCACTTTCCCACCGCGAGCATGGGAAAGGTAGAGCTTCAACGTAATTAAGCGTGCGACGATGATAAGGGAGCATGCTTGCGAAAGAGGCGCAAAGTCCAGGCGAGGCGACCGCGCGAGAATGGATATGCTGGTGCACCTAATTCTGAAGTTGATAAGCATTGTAAGTTCTGGTTAGGGCTCTACAGATAGTTTGCAGCCGAAACCGCCAGATTTACCTGGACTTTGCTCTCAAGCACCATGACACTATGCACCATTTGCAGCCAATCATTTTTGGCCAAAAACGACCAGAGATGGGTTTTTATATGAAGTAAGAAAATGCATTTCGATTTGATTCATTCTCATACATGTAAGCCTTGAGTACATTAAATGTGAAAGTGGTATATTATAAAAATCTACTTACTGTACATATATTTACATAGCTTGCATAGGTCTTTTCATTATATTGCCCATTTAGGAAGTCCTTTGTCATTGATATGCTGCCATTGCATACATCTTCAATTCTGAAAATCAGAAGTTACATACAAACTGTACTGTACCTGTTGTACCCATTTTTGCTACCTGCGTTCCACAGCAGGATCTTCTTTTTGAAGCACGAACCCCATTCGTTTATGACACTTGCGAATGTGAGTCTCAACGAAGATCTCCTTTGTGTGCGAAAAATCACAAGCGGAACATCCATATTTGCGATATCCAAAGTGAGCAGCGATATGAAGGCGGCTGAAACAGCTTTGTTCTGTGATGAGATTTATAAGTCATTTAATAGACAATATTCTTGGATGCTTCTGTGCCAAGCAGGTTTGTTGTATGTTCTTTATTCATTACAGTACGGCCTGTCTCGACGCACGTTCGTCTATCTGAGGCCGATAATAGCTCAGAGCGTCTCCCGTTAAGCCCCATTTTTGGCTTCGTAACGCTTTGAGCTATTTTCAAGCCTCTGAGGAAGACGAAAGGCGTGGTAAAGTAGGGCTGTAATTGGAAAGTTTGAAGATCACCTAAAGGACCTGTTTGACACAGAAGCTTTCAAAATTATTCAATAAGTATGCCCAGGTTTGAAAGTGGTGGTCCTAGAAATTTGAGTGGAGGGGCGGAGGCGAGGAAAGATTTTTTTCATTGAATACAAAGAACCATTGGTACATAATCGACAATAATTCAAGAAATCAAGAAAAATTATGACTAAATTGAATTTCTCAGATTTCAAATATTTATTGTCATTCAAGAGTAACAACAAGTCACTAGCGTAAATTCGCTATTCATATGTATTTCAAAACTATCCAGCGACCGTTCTCAAACATCATTCCCCTTTCCCCGTCCCTCTCTTTCGGTACCCCACAGATACTGTGCTGTGGACAAGGTATGATGGTATCCTATGGAAAAAAGTTCTTTTACTGGGAAGCAGGGCATTTCTCTCATTTCATGTGCAAAAACTCACCGATTTCTAGAGCAGATCCATTCTTTGCAGATAACACATATAATATTTGGGTAAAATTTGGCATCATTGTGCTTTGCGAAAACCCGTTTGCACTCTGCAAAAGCAAATGAATCTTTTGGGCTTGTAGGCCAGCGTATATTTGGAGATATACGCTATGGATCCATCAAGGAACAAGAGTGGTCTGTGTCACTCCTCCGGGAATGTGAGAAATGGAAACCTAATAAAGCACCTTGTAAATTATCATTAGTCTGGGAAAGTGTAGAATTATACAGAGGAAGTAAAGGTAGTATTTGCTTGTTTTCAGACTGAACATTGGCTTGACCTTCAGCACCTCTTGAGCAGCTAGCTTTTCCTAAATAAAGTATTTTGTTGGTTTAGTTGTATAATTATGAAAACATTCGTAAAAATGGCTTACTTCCATTTAGTTGATTGATAACGGTAATTAGTGCTGTGCCACATTCCAGATCTATGTTTGCAGATCCGTTCGTTGCTTGTAGTAGATGATTTGAATACGCTGGAATGTTCATCCATTTTCCTCTCAAATTAGTCATTTTCCACAAAAAGAAAACTAAGGATTTATATTAACGGACTTGGAAGCAACTCACTCAGAAATAACATAAAGTCACGAGCGTCGCCCTGCGACATCTGGCTATCATTGATAAAATTGATCACATCTTCTTCCGGAAAACCGAATGCCGAGGCTGCAATGCGTTAAATGGGGAGAGTTTTCCAAAAAGCGGGATACCGTAGAAAATAGCAAAGAAAATCACAGCTGTCGCTAGCATAACGTTCCTCTGAAGATATTCTTTGAATAGTGGAAAAATTTTTTTACTTGATTCGGATTGTTTATATGGCTTGACGTCGGCTAATAGAATCTCTGACTTTGAGGGTCCGGGCAAATCCATTTCTACAATGAGAAAAATTGCAGATTTTTTTTTTGGATTAAAAAGCTGAGCGAGCTTCTTACAAAAAAAAGGTTGAGAAGGGCTGGCTTTTGAGAGATGCTATTTCATATATTGGTAGTGAAGGAAGAACACAAGCTAGGACGCTATCAAAGGTGGTTTATTTGACCCAATTCTTTCCCAGGTCACTATGCCGACTAAGTGCTAGTGCTCTCGTTTGACCTCAGCACATTCGTCTATGCAGATGCTAATGCTCAGGTCATAGCTGAGTATTAAGATTAGGTATTTGTACATTGCATCTAAAAAACCAAAAACAAAACCGAACAAAATAAAATCAAACCAAGATTGCAATCAGTTTTATTAGACGTTTAGCATCTATAGGGGACCAAAATCAAGGAAAGAAGATTTGAAGGCTTTTGAGTGGTTTCTATTAATTTCCCAATAGTGCAAACAAGCGCCTAAAGTCCGAACAAATGAATTGATGCAAATCCTACGGATCAGACTTCGTGAAATGTGACTAAGCTTTCTGACTGGCACTTCTTCGGGAAATTGCATACTCATAAAACCGCTCGCTTATGACTGGGAAATCAGATCTGCACTATAAATCTCTACAAAACATGAAACTATGTCAGCAACATTCGCATTTGGAATTTCGTACCAGATGAAATTTGATGTCGCAGTCACTCGGAATAAATCGTCTTGTGAAATTTTGTTTGTACTGTAATAATTCAGGCAGTTTGTTTGCATTACGAACCAGTTCTAACAAAAGTCGACCGATTCAACAATAGCTTGACGCTTTTGTGTTCTGTTGGCTCGTTGAGTGCTAAGCATTGTGTCGTACCGCAACTAATCCTTGAATAATCCCGGTTCAACAAATATGGAAAGACAAGCGGTTCAGTCGCCTCTCAGCTTCTATCATGCGGTTCATTCTTTCGCTCCTCACATATTTTTTTATCGTTACGGTAAATTGCTTTTTTTTACATAGCTAACTTTAGATGGTAGAATAGAATTCACTAATTGAAAATTGCAGTTTTTCATGGTCCAAATTGAATCAATGTTTTATAAATGCTCATCATAACCTCACATTTCGTTTTATCTCAAAATTGAAATGTGTTTCAACGTAGACTCTCCAAAACACCGTCTTAATCATAAAACAGGAGGGCGTGCAGGAGTTCCTAGCACCTTTCCTCGCACCATCCACGCACCAGCATTCACACCCAGGAGGGTTCTAGCACCTCCGTGCCTCAGAGGTCAAGCACCGCCCAATGCTCCACCCAATTATTGGTCTCATTGTGAGGTGTGCAAGCAGCGAGAACGTAGATTTAGGTATTAAGGTGATAAGAGAAAAAAATGGAGAAAAAACGGTACATAGTTGTCATTTCCCAAGTGAGGCGGCTTTGAAACTTCTGCCACGCCATTCTTTTGAAAAAGGAGCATTTAATCATTATTTTCAGAAGAAAAAAATCGCACAGAATTTTTTGGATAGAAAATCCGGTCATTTGAAATATTGGAGGATCTGGTTGATCAATTGTACATTCTAGTCATCTGATTGAAGTAATTTAGCATCAGGAGTTTGAGAACCCAATTACCTTCCCAACATTAAAAGGACCTATTTCCAAAGTAGTGTGTCAAAGTTCCCGAATAAGCAACTGAACGCTTCTCAAAGAGGGTATCTTAACACATATACTTTTCTACTTTTGTCTGCCATCATCCGAATAAGTTTTCCAATTCCTCTAATGATCAATAAGATCCAAATTATCAAAAAAAATTTTTCAAGTGTAGTATTTCCTATCGGTGTACTAGAATACCACCTTCGTCGCATAATCGAAGAGGTGGCTATGAGCTCCAAATACGACACTAAATTTGCAATCTATGGTAATTCGCTATATTCTTAGATGATTAGAGCTTTGAAATTGACTTAGTTCTCTGTTATATTATACACTGTGACTGGAAGACTCATAACTTCTGCTTGATTTATATTAATACGATATGCCTCACAAACTTACTCAACCGCGATTACGAGTTTTCAAGGAAGCGTCATTTTAATCGAAAACATGAAAATAAATCGAAGTGCCGGGATTCAGCTGCAGTTATTAACGGATCTAAAACCTATCAAAACCTAGATTTTTTTGTTTCTCAATTGTTTCTATTATCCTCATATCCAGTGAAGCACGCCTCACAGTGCGTGTAAACATTTTGAAATGAGGGCACCTAGAGGGAGGAGTGGTAGGCGGAGCCGCTCTTTGACCCTGAGAAGGTGTGATGCCCTTCAAGGAATTTCTGGAGGTGTCAAGTACTCCTACAAGGAAAAGCGGCTAGGCTTTGGGAACTCCTGCCACGCCGCCCATAAAACACTAGCTGTCATCAAACTATCAGGTTTGCCAATAATAAGTAATGGCCTAAAAGTTGTAGCAATGTCCAAAAACCATGACAATCAGCTTTGAACTTCAGCATTAATATGTGATAGAAAAATGGTTCCTATTCTTTTCGTTTTTAGATAACTTTGTCGACTTCTTTCACAAGCGATTCCTGTAAATGTACCGGAGGAGAAGCAGCTGCATGCGAATGCAAGGTGAGGTTACAAAGTTTTGAATGACAATATCAAGAAAGTCTGAATCAAGTTTGAACGCATTTGGGATACTGGCGTCCCGCGCATTTAGATGAGAAACTTTTGCAAGGCAAGAAGCTGGTTTGCGAAAACCTTTTTGAGGGTGATACCAGGGTATCCGATATAGTTAGAACCGAATATTCGTGTTCGAATAATTTGTTTGAAATTCGACTATTCGAATATTCGAATAGTCGAATAAATTAAAAAGGCCTGTATTTGAATAACGTCCATTCGACGATTTGAAAAAATGAGTTATTCGAGTATTCGTTCATTCGAGGAGTTTTAAAAAACAGTTATTCTAATATTCGAATATTCGACAACTTGAAAGACAGTTGTTCGAATTCGAATATCAAGGATCATTCATGCGAACATTCGATGTCAAACGAAAATTTCAGCTGTTCTACATTGAGTGCAGGTATGTCCCCGATCTGTCAATCGTATAAATGAATATATGGCAGAATGTCTAGCAAGTTCCCTTTTTAAGGCAATCGCGAGTCATGCTAGAGCATAGTGATGACTTGTCTTATGCATACGCAAATACCTCCAAGCTCCAAATTGGGTAAAGAAGCAAAGCCGTCATTAGGCGCCACTTTAGCAGACTACTGGTCCTCACATTATAGATAATAATGTGGGTAGGCGTGTAGGTTGGACAATAATTATTCGAAACTGAGTGAAATTTGTGGAAGATCCCTTATAACAAAAGTACAGACCTCAAAAGTACAGATAAAAGAACTTTGTGAAAATTCAATCCTACAAAACTGTAAAACTCAGCGATTAATAATTTCCGACAAGCATTAGATTAGCAGCTAATACACAGATATTCCCATGAGTTCTCTTTTTCTGGATTTAGAAAGCACAAAAGTATTATGTAGACAACAGTGCGTCACCTCTGCTGGAGAGACTCACTGATTCTATTACTGTAGGCCTTTCTTATGCTCTCTCAGTAATCTTAGAACTCATGCATTGCTAATTACCATTAAATTACAAAAAAAACCCCCATTCCAAAAGGTTTTCCATGCTGAATCTGTAGCTTTGGGGTAAAGTTCTGTGTAGCTTCGGGAGAACTTCTGTGAGAAATAGTGAATTGCGGACTCGAAACGGCTTACTAGCCCTCTCAAATGACAATGAACACTTTGAAGTAGGTTGGCCATAAGTTTTGCAACTTATCTCGTAACTTTTCTCTTTTTGACTATGACCCATTCATTTTTGAGCATAATGTAGGTTAGGTAGCAGGCTACAAATATGCGCAAATAATTTGATATTTGGTAGCAGAGTGGAGAAAATTTACGCATTTTTCGAAAAGCTGGCCAAATTTAAAATTTCAGATTTCGGGAAACCAAAAATGAAGCCGTTCTCATTCTGAATCGAGCACATCAAGCTGAAACTGTGAAGATCATTAGACATTCCTCAATCAACAATACGGGTACAGTTTTGGCTTGATGAGTGCTTGATTTGACTGAGAATGCGTTGTTTTTGGTTTTCCAGCCCTTGAAATTTCGTGACCAGTTTTCGAAAAACGTAAATTTATTCCACTCCGCTACCGAAAATCAAATTATTTGCGCACATTTGCAGCCTACTACCTATATTATGCCCGGAAATGAATAGGTCATAGTCAAAAAGAAAAAATTTGGGAAATAAGTTGCGAAACTTATGTGCCAACCTAATATATATTTGAGTAAAATTCTTTGTTTTCTAGATAAAATCGTGGCCAAGTGACAATAACCCAGTCATCCTTACCACTTGCTACGCATATAATTATCAGCTACAAATCTAGATCAAACATAGCGATTGATTTTTTTGTGGAAAACTGCAACAAAAAACCAGCAATGTCGAGCCACTAGATTCTTCGAATTTTTCGAATAGTCCAATATTCGGGCAGGAATGATTATTCGGATATAATAGTCAAATATTCGACCATATGTGATTATTCGATTATTCGAATAGTCGAATATTCGACCAACCCTATTTATTCTAATATTCGTTCATTCGAATCTTGAAATGTAGCATCATTCGAGTATTCGAATTCGAATGATCTGAAAATCACAGGTCGAATAATATTCGTTTGAATATTTTTCAAAAGCCGATTCTTCGATATTCGTTCGTTCGACGAAATTTTTCTACGGGACTGGAATACTCCCATTATAACAAATCACTCAGTTGCCTTGAAAGAAGGGAAAGAATATTTTAACGAATATTATTCGACCTGTGATTTTCAGATTATTCGAATTCGTAATAAGTGTAAACGAATCAGCGCACGCAAAGAGAAAGACACTACTTGTTTGGAAGGGGCGGCAGAAGGTGAGAGAGGTGAGAGTTGCTTGATAAGGCTCCGACAGCGTCCGAAATAGTGCGCTGTCACTGCGTGAGATAACTTGCTCTCACCTTGATATAGGATTCTCGAAGATTCAGATAAACACAAGTTTTCTTCGAAATCAGAAAAGTGTTGCTTTATGTGGTTTGACCAGACTCCCTGCTGCGTCAAGGTTTGAAAGACTTAGTTTTATTTGGTAACGTTACATGATTAGTTAGCTGGTTCAATGGATCGGGATATATAGTGCGAGCCATTTTGTAAATATAAAGCTTGAAACAAAACGAATTGTGAAGGTACAACAAAAGTGAATATGATTTGGCTCGCTTAATATAATGAATCGTGCTTCATTCTGCTTAGCAGAGCTTCGCACCGATCATCACGGAAAGTGTTGGAGTAAACTTACTCTCCGATAACTTGTTTCTCAGATTATTACAAAGTTACCTGAAGTGAGTGACCCCTAGTTGGAAATGAATCACCCCCCCCCTTATCAGACATCACATGTTCAAAGTACTGTAAATCATTCCTCTCTGGAATTTCGTAACGGACAAACTTGACACAGCTTCAAGTTATGCCGCCTATTACAAGTCATGTTAAGTATCACTTTGAAGCAGTGACTGCGGCTTCTCGACACTGTTGGACATTCTCTTCTACTGAACAATGGGTCACCCTTGATTCAAGAAAGGGGCCTTAAAAGCCGGGCATACTTCACGCGATTTCAGTCGCGACACGATTTGGCGACTCGCCAGAAGTCTTCAGATGCAACATTAGCAAACTGTACATGCATAGTGTGTATAACTTACGTGGATTGATAAAATGCCCTACAGTTGTGACAGTGGAATGTGAAAAATTTCGGCGAATTCGCCAATTTCGCCGATGTCGCCGATTTCGCCGATGTCGCCGAATTCGCCGATGTCGCCGATGTCGCCGACTTTGCGTCTTTTCGTCATAACTCCCTTTGTTCTCAATGGATTTCAAATTTGAAGGCAGGTTTGGATTCAGCTCGCCGAGAAGAATCTTTTCATATATTGAACTGCTGTAATCGGCTCGGTCACGGTAAGTGCATGGTAGGAATCCGTTGCATCCTGTGGTGGTGTTTTCTAGAGCGTGTATTTCGGCGCATAATGTAGGCAAAAGTTTAAGAAAAAGAGCGTTTGATGGAAGAGTTTCTGCTGAGTGTTTCCAGCAGAGAACCATATCCTTTTTTGTAGTGGAAAAAAGAGAAAGGAGTACGTGAACTTAGTAAATATATATGAACCACTTACCGTCAAACAAACATAACTATACAGTAACACTATGATTAGCAAAACAATTATAATCAGGGTTGAGCAAGAGGTCAGGCAGAAGCCCTTCATAAACGACCCCCCCCCCCTTGTGAAAACCCATGAAGACCCTCCGCTTCACCTCCAAGGCCTCAGGGTGTTATATTTTGAAGAAGACCAGCCTTCAATGCAGGTTTCTATTTTTTGAAATCCGTATGCCCGACTTTCTGCGATACAACCACACACAGCTTGACGGTAAGTTTTAGATCTGGATAGTCCTTTTTTCAAAGCTATAATTTTCACAGAGATGGAGTGTTTCGCTCCAAATTTTCAGTATAGCAAGAAGAGGCTTTACGCTCAATACTCATATCAAAAAAGGGGCGATTTCTGAATTTTGAACGCAAGTTAAAAGGGTCAGGCGCAACCCAAAGCTCAGGCGGCTTGACCTTTTGAGGGGTTGCGCCTGACCCCAATAACTTTATTTCCGAAAATGCTTTTCTACCCAAGTTTTATGTGATTCGTTAGCTCAACCCTCGAAGATTCCACAGTGAGTGTTTGAGCTTGGTTCGAGTTGTTTCTGCCTTGTGCTAATCCGAGGAGTTGGAGCACTCAGCGTGAAAAACGCGCCGGTTAGAATTTTGGCACCACTTTTTAGGTAAAGGTAAAAGAGATGAAGATTTGAATTGTGGCTAAAAATTTCATTGTGGAAACAATCAGTATGCTGTTTATGACCGTCATTCCTTCATGTGATCGCGATATCCACCGGACTAACGCATTTCTTCTTCACCTTGCAGTATCTCCCCAACTTAACAGATTCGATTCTTAATTACGACCCCCCCCCCCCTCAGTCTTACCCTCAATACGATCCCCCAGGTCGGGCGCGCCTGACCCCACGCTCAACCCTGATTATAATCTTTGTAATCAGCATGTCTTGTTGCTTATGTGAGCAAAGTGACACACCGCATGACTATGATATTCGGCTTTCAGCAAAACTTCACTTTTTTCTGCAGACGCCTCTTTGCAACGCTATGGGCCAGCCCCTTTCACACTTAAAAGATTCCGGTAAGGCGAATCGGAAAGAGTTGTTTCCGTAGGTAATTCAGCGGTGAAAAGTAGACGGAGACATGCTTTATAAAGCGCGAAAAGAGATGGTGAATTCTGCAAAAATCACGCGTCTTTAAATTCTACTCGCCGTAACTTCCTTCGGAATAAGTATATTCTTAATCCGAAAACGGTGCTGTGCTCAGCTCATCAAGGCGAATCTTTTGGTATACAGCATGCCCTTGATATCTCGATATCAATATTCTTGAATCTTTCTGCGGACGTTTCTTCTCGAAGGTGTAAAGCAGCGAGCATTGTCCCGAGTAGATTCCGGCAGGGACCTTTTGATAGTACTTTTTCTGTAGATTATGATGCGCTAAACAGTAGCCGCAATTTTCTTTTCAAAGGAAAAAGATGAGCTGGTGAATTGTGGAAAAATCTTGTCGTCCCAAATTCTACTCGCCATAGCCATAGAATATGATGCTCTCTTGCTAAGCAGATGTGATTATCGTAATCAGCAGGTCGGATAACCACTATGAGCAAGTTTTCCGAGATTTTCGGGTTATTTGATTTTTTCTCATTTTACGCTCTGGAAGCTCTCCGATGGATTTTGGTCAAAATGTTGATGCTCCTGAATTGTAAGGAAACTTCGCTTATAGAGGTTTTCGAACACGCTCTTTACGAAAATCGTGGTCTTTGAGGATTACAGGATCTTTTTGGAGAGATACGGTGAGATGACTGTAACTGCACCACGAAAGTGCGTAACTTTGCCCGCACTTCTCGCGTATCTCTCAGAAACCTTGCTTGCTTGCTTTCCTAAGTCAAAATGACTAGGAATTGAGCTATCGAATGGTGCATGAATCGGGCTCCAGTCTATAAAATTCGCCGAGTTACAAGCCTACGAAAACACGTCCTCATGAAATTTGCACAAAATCTAAAGATCGCGTACTTTGTTGAAATTCCACCGTGAGTGGTTGTATAGAACGCGGGCGGGGTGAACATAACATTTGAAATTAGTCATGCAACCGCTCACGATGGAATTTCAATAAAGTACGCGATCTTTACATTTTGTGCAAATTTCATGAGGACGTGTTTTCGAAGGCTTGTAACTCGGCGAATTTTATAGACTGGAGCCCGGTTCATGCACCTTTCGATAGTACAATTCCTACTAACTTTGACTGAGAAAAGCAAGCAGGCAAGGTTCCTGACAGATACGCGAGAAGTGCGGCCAAAGTTACGGACTTTCGTGATGCAGTTACAGTCACCTCACCGTATCTCTCCAAAAAGACCCTGTAATCCTCAAAGACCACAATTTTCGTAAAGAGCGTGTTCGAAAACCTCTATAAGCGAAGTTTCCTTACAATTCAAGACATCAACATTTTGACCAAAATCCATCGGCGAGCTTCCAGAGCGTAAAATGAGAAAAAATGAAATTACCCGAAAATCTCGAAAAACTTGCTTGTAGTGGTTATCCGACCTGCTGATTACGATAATCACATCTGCTTAGCAAGAGAGCCTCATATTCTATGGCTATGGCGAGTAGAATTTGGGACGACAAGATTTTTCCACAATTCACCAGCCCATCTTTTTCCTTTGAAAAGAAAATTGCGGCTACTGTTTAGCGCATCATAATCTACAGAAATAGTACTACCAAAAGGTCCCTGCTGGAGTCTACTCGGGACAATGCTCGCTGCTTTACACTTACGAGAAGAAACGTCCGCAGAAAGATTCAAGAATACTGAAATCGAGATATCAAGGGCATGCTGTATACCAAAAGATTCGCCTTGATGAGCTGAGCACAGCACCGTTTTCGGATTAAGAATATACTTATTCCGAAGGAAGTTACGGCGAGTAGAATTTAAAGACGCGTGATTTTTGCAGAATTCACCATCTCTTTTCGCGCTTTATAAAGCATGTCTCCGTCTACTTTTCACCGCTGAATTACCTACGGAAACAACTCTTTCCGATTCGCCTTACCGGAATCTTTTAAGTGTGAAAGGGGCTGGCCCACAGCGTTGCAAAGAGGCGTCTGCAGAAAAAAGTGAAGTTTTGCTGGAAGCAGAATATCATAGTCATGCGGTGTGTCACTTTGCTCACATAAGCAACAAGACATGCTGATTACAAAGATTATAATTGTTTTGCTAATCATAGTGTTACTGTATAGTTATGTTTGTTTGACGGTAAGTGGTTCATATATATTTACTAAGTTCACGTACTCCTTTCTCTTTTTTCCACTACAAAAAAGGATATGATTCTCTGCTGGAAACACTCAGCAGAAACTCTTCCATCAAACGCTCTTTTTCTTAAACTTTTGCCTACATTATGCGCCGAAATACACGCTCTAGAAAACACCACCAAGGATGCAACGGATTCCTACCATGCACTTACCGTGACCGAGCCGATTACAGCAGTTCAATATATGAAAGGATTCTTCTCGGCGAGCTGAATCCAAATCTGCCTTCAAATTTGAAATCCATTGAGAACGAAGGGAGTTATGACGAAAAGACGCAAAGTCGGCGACATCGGCGAAATTGGCGAATTCGGCGAATTCGCCGAAATTTTTCACATTCCACTGTCACAACTGTATCTTCTGTACATTTTAAATGTGCTTACAGTAAGTTACGGACAGTTGGAATATTGCCAAACCGCGTGGCGACTGAGATCGCATGAAGTATGTCCGGCCTTTTACACATAGAAGCCATATAGACTAGTAGATGTGAGGATAAATATAGACTGGTTAATGCTGATCCGTATGTTCGGACAGTTCTGTACAGCGTTTAAAGGCACCGTCCACTCTAAGTTGAGGGTGTTAAGCTTTTGGCAGCATATAATACTAGGGCCCCTTATCAATCCAGTGCCCAAGTCGCGGCGCAAAATGCCACTTCGGAAGCGAGAAAATCGCTTCGGAGTAGCGGAGATGCACGAGGACCCCTATCCATGCCCGCCCTCCCCCATCCATGCCCGCCCATTTGTGCGCGTCCATCCAATCACCGTTCCGGAAAGCCGGCCTGTCGGTTCTCCGGAACGGGGATTGTCGGGGTTCCAGCATTCTCGACTTCATATTCCGAATCAGGAACATGAGAAGGCCCTGAAACGACAAAAACGTGGAAGTCGAAAATCTGGGTGGACGGTGCCTTTGAGCCGTGCGATGTGCTGAAACTGTTCCGCAATTCACGGAACAGCATGAACCCAGCCATAGTGTTACTGCGGAGCCGACTTCAGTTAGCAACATTTAGACGCTTTAGCAAATTGCAACGCCTGTAATCCGACAAAATGCGCTTGCAAAACGGTCGTAGAGCGCATATCTTCAAGTTTTGCGTCCCTCTGTAACTTCTTCACGCGCAAATGTCGTCGTCGAATGTAAGCAACACGGGGACACGGATACCGCCAGATCCATTAGCCTGTGCATATAAATTTACATTTCTCACAACAGGTGAGCTCTCCATCGAATGCTACTACGAAGGGTCAAATGAACTGCGGTTGCACAGGACCTACTGCGCTGGAATGCGTATGTGATGGGAACAAAAAGGTACTGAGGCCCTATTTGCATTTCCTCTTTCTTACCTGAATCTCTAGGTGTTGCCTTCACGAAGTCCAGCACACACTCAATCATCTACGCAAGACTGTACCAACAAATGCCAAACAAGCTGCTTGGAAACCTGTGTTATGTTGGAACTAGACTCTAAATGTGGCGAGGTAACCTATCCTAGCAGATTAACCAGTTGAAGCGTATGCAATTTGTTCAGATATGCTCAGATGCCTGTTACTATTCCTGTAAAAAGCAGGAAAAGGCTAGACTAAGAGGAATCAATAAGAAGAAGAATGAATATAAGTTCATCATACCGAACGAATCAACAGCGACTACCGGAGTAAAACCCATTAGGTTCTTGTTAGTAATCCTGAAACTCTGTGACTGTTTAGGCAAGTGTTCAACTGAGGCCTTATGAGCAGAGGTCGACGCTTTTTCCCATACCAGTAGCAGTTTCACCGTACTCCAAAGTAAGCAGAACTTGCTCGAATGCTTCCCAATGGCATTTTTCTAAGATTCAAATGAAAACTATCGACGATTATCACTTCGTATTTCAATGCGTATGAGCCTTCACACCCCGGCCCATATGCACTTACAGTCGAGTAGATTTAGCGGTAAATATAGTGCGCTTGCACAGAAGGTGAAATGCGGTGAAATTTGCGCGTGAACAAGTAGCCACGTCAGTACCGCGGGTATCTTGCGCGCGCAATTGGCCGGCGTCACAGTCGAAACTATTTCTTCACGCGCCAATTTTACCGCATTTCACCTTCTGTGCAAGCACACTATATTTACCGCTAAATCTACTCGACTGTACATCCTTGCGGCGAGGGAAGCGGCGTCCCCAATGATGAGAAAGCCGCAGCGGTGTCCGCATGCGGCCCCTTCAAAACGTAAAACTTCGCTCCCCTCTCGATGTTAGTGATGTTAGTGCATACGAGCTCCAGCCTTTGATCGTGCTCAGGCGCAGAAAAATGCTCAGAGGGTCCACAATAAGCCGAGTGCCCACTTGACAAATCTTCTACAGAAAATCTTGCTCAATGTGATCTCAATGAACCCTCACGGCTTCCATGTATTTCGAGCAAGTGTTTCAGAAATGCGAGTTGGAATGCATGCCAGACTGCAGCCTTACATGCACCACACTCAAACCTGCATTGGAACTGATCGGTGGTTTCGTCGATGGCAAGACAAAGACGCTGGCTGACTGCCAGGATTCATGTACCGGAACATGTGCAAAAGTTTGCATGTGAGTAAGCAAAACCAGTGAAGAAGAGTCTGAATTAAAGGGTTATTGGTTGGCGTGCACCGAGCAAATTGGATCTATCTCCACGTTAGAGGGATTTCGTTCAATAAAAGAAAATTTTTGTCTGGTCGCGCTCTCGCACGCAGATACAGGACTTCGCCGCAGAAGTCGGCGTCTCTTCGATCTTTTATCCCTTCCATTGTGTACGCTTTCTTAAAGGCAGTCCAGGCAAATCTGGATTATGACGCTCTCACATGGATAGTAATCTTGGGGCCTAACTAAGCCGCTGCCCAACCGGCAGCTCAGGTATGGCTCACGGCTGAGATATTCGCCTCGACTGGATCCCGGAATCGTGTTTCGCATGGATTTATAGCGCGAACCATCAATTTCGTGCGAGGACCCATGGGTTGCGCCATGAATCCATGCAAAAGACGATCCCGGGTCCAGTTTTGAGAGACGATATCTCAGCTGTTAAAGCACTACCTGAGCTGCCGCTTGGGCAGTGGCTTAGTTAGGGCCCCAAGATTATTATCCACGTGAGAGCCTCATAATCCAGATTTACCTGGACGCTGCCTTTCAAAGTGCTACCTATCTCAGCGGACGCAAGGGCGTCTGCTCAGACAATCGCAAATGACTTCCGGGGGAAATTGAACTTCTAAAACTTTTGAGGGGACGCTCATATTGGGCCGTGTGAGTGGGCCCTACGCTGCTTGGCCCAGCCCTGTCTGGCAGATCCAATATGTTCACCCGGAAGTTTAAGAAATTCAGTTTCCCCCGGAAATTGCGATCGTCTGAGTATGTACGATGAATCGGCTATATCAGACCTCCGCGTTGCGTAAGTAAAAGAGGGCAAGCAAGTTCGAATCTTTCAGATCCACTGGTGTCTCTCCTGTAGATTGTGCTACAACCTGCGGCCCTGCATGTGAAGCGAGTTGCCAACAGGCTCTGAGATTGCCAAAAGAATGCCCGCCAGCATGTATGCCAAGTTGTCAGCCTGAATGTATGGAGGTAGGAAATTTGTAATGTTATCTTGTCGCGAATGAAGCTCATTTTGCTTCAGCAAATCTCCCGACTCGATTATGTCCACCCACCGGCAGCACTAGAAATGGGGCCTACACCCAAGCTGCAACACAGATGCGTGCGTGAATGCAAGGTAATTGGAGTCATCAACTCAGATATGCGCTAAAGTTGCAGATAAAATACCCTGTATGACGCCTCATTTCGTTATAGCCGAGACGACTCGAGCTCTCGCGACAGGCTCGCACAGTCCTTATGCTGGGTTTGCGCACGTATCATCGGCTCCCAGATTCGTGTGGAGGTGGAGTCTTGCCAACTCACCGCGTGGCGGTTTTTGCTAGCGAGAGATTACGAAAAGCAATGCTATGACGTGGAGGTTTAACAAGTTTACATGTGTTATCAGGCAAAGTCAATACACCTCCACACGAATCTGGGAGCCGATCATACTCTCAGTTTGGTGGGAACCAAGTGTCGTAGGCGATAGTGGCGTCGATAATAATTTATCCACAGACGAACCCCGGTGTTGATCCGGGGGGAGCAACCTATAATACAATTGGGGGCTCCTTATATAGGTAGTAAGGCGGAGCTGACCCGTGCACAATCGGAATGTCCAGGAAATATATGCAAGAAAGAGGATGCCGCGGCTTGGCGCGGCCCCTGGAAGATAGGTGCCACTCATTGGTGAGTGATTCGGCACTTAAATATAAGCGGTTGGGGAATATAGCCTATGGGGAATACCCGTAAGCTATTAGGATTATAGAATTGTTGAGGTTGATGATAGATAAATCATCAACACTCCGGGCGAGCAAGGAGGAGGCGAGATCTATTGAAATGTTAATAAATAATACAATCAAAACCTCTTAAAAGCATTTGTACTTACGATTAGAAATTGAGATATAGCTGTGTTCATGAGTGGAAGCTATTAGATTGGTTGTCAAGGTTGATGATTCATAGATCATCAACACTCCGGGCGAGCAAGCAACAAGTTAATCTGGTAAGCACGAGATACAACAAATGCATAGATTTGTATAGACTTAGACATACTTATGGGAGCTACAGACAGAAGAGAATTTACGGTGAACAGTTGTAGTGGTTGGTGGTTGCTGTTCCGTAGTGTAGCTTCGTCTTTCGTCGTCGTCTCTTCTTCCTCGTCGGTACTGCCCTCGTCGACTTTGAGTTGACAGAATCGTTATCGGTGATTGTCTTCGTGATAGCCGTGGTTTCCGTCATCAGATGTTTGTGATGTGTAATCTTGGGCATGTCCGTCATCTTTATCTTAGCTTGCGTCGTCGGTTGAAGAGTTCTGGCAAGAGTTCCATTCGCACTCCTCGTGTTGGGGCTGGAACTGAAGCTTAATATGCAGCGAACTTTGGCCAGCCATTGTTGTCTGTCTGCCTTAGCTTCGCGATTAGCAGCAGTTGTCAGGGTTTTCTTCTTTTTCGATAACGACTTCGCGATCTTCTGAGATGTTACTTCAGTATGCGCTCGGAAGATTCTCCTGTTGATTCCAGCTGTAGCGATTTGATTGAGACGGTGAACGTCTTCTTTGTCGTAAGCCATTTGGGGCGTCGCTGCGAGTGAGAAGCGAGTTTGGAGGCTTCCTGCATCATGGATGTACAACCAAAAGTGCCGACGATCTCCGTGACGTTGGTACGGCTTGTACCAGATATGACATATCCAAAGATGATCGGGGTCAATATGAGCCCGGAGGGAAGCTTGAGCACTGTTTCGGTGTGAACAGTGACGAGGTTTAGAAGATCTTGTCCAATAATGAGTTCAGGCAAGACGCTTTTATGAGTGAGCGTATCTTGAGCTATCTTCAAGTTCTTATTGGAAAGGAACTGAACATCTGCTTTTGTGAGATGTGCTGTATGTAAGTTAGCAGTCAACTTCTCTTTAGTGTGCGCTGATATCTTCTTAAGCTTCTTTGCGTTGTGAAAGCTTTTCAAAGTAATTTGCACTTCATTGGAACTGAATGTCTCTTTCAAATCTCCCATTCCTGATGTGGTGAATGACGTCGTTTGGATGACTGGCAGCTTAAGCTCATTACCAAATTTTGATTTGATGAAGCTTCGCTGGGCGCCGGAGTCAATCAGTATTGTTATGGGTTTATAATCCCAAATTGCCTCGTTGAATATCATGGCTGAAGCCGTTTGAAGTACGCTTTGGCACACGATTGGCAGTTTAGTTGAGCTGTAGACTTTTTGTCCATTTCGCCGTGCAACGGGTACTTCACTTGTTTTGCGATGATCGAAGTTGGTTCTTTGCAGTATCTTAGAGACTTGCAAATGATGAGTGCTAGCAGGAAACTGAGACTGCTCGAGATACTCTTCCTCCTCTTTCCATTTCGGACTTTCAGTACTTGTGTCCAGATGGTTGCTTCTTTGAATGTTGCTTGGAAGAAGTGTCTTCATTGTTAATGCGGTCGTTTCCCGAAGAGTGATGATGTCATCTATCGCGTCTAGGATCTCCGAAACATCAAAGTGATCGCCAACTACGGTTTCCTTCTGTACGACGGTTGCGCAGATGGCTTCAGGAAATTTCGACAAGATTAGTCGGCGCCAGATTCTGTCTGCGCTCATCTTCATTCCGGTTTGTTCCAGGTGAATGATCCGCGAATTGATTGCTTCGAAAGTTTTTCGGCAACTTTCGGGATTGTCTTTTGCTCCTTGAAGTCGTTCGATTTCATTGATGAGTATATCTGCCATGCTGGCAGAGCGACCAAAGTGCTTCTTCAGGATGTCTACGGCTGTCTTGTATTTGTTTCCAACGACAGGGATGCAGTTCAAAGAGGCAGTTGCTTTTCCTTTGAGCGCTTGCTTCAGAAAAAGAAATTTGTCGCCGTCCGATAAGTCTTCGTCGCAGTGAATAAGTGAATCGAACACTGTCCAAAAACTGTTGAACTCTTTGAAGTTGCCCGAGAATGTAGGAACCTCTAGGAGCGGTTTCCGGATCCTGATCTGGCCTTCACTTCGTTCCGTTGTTGAGCCTCTTCCTATCTCGCTGTGTGGCTGACTCGGAATACTAGGATCAGGCGTATGCAAAAGTGTCGTTTGCTCCCTCAGTTCATGTTGTCTGAACTGTATTCTGTTTTGCCATTGAACTGCTATCACTTCCAGATCGAGTGCTTCCAGCTCCAAATGCTTGCTAAGTTCAACCATCAGCTTCTCTCGTTCCTTTTCTTCACTGCATGCACTGATGTACTCAATGGCAGCGTTGAGCTGTGTTTCTTGCAATTTCACAGCGTTTTGCAAAGAATTGAGGAGATTTGTTATTACTCCTGCCTTTTCTTTGATATATTCTTCACATTCCGCTTTTGTTGTTGGAAATGTGAAGGGGACGTCTACGTTCTCCACTTCGGACTCGTAGGATTTTACGAGCTTGCAAGCGTTGTTGATTTTGTGTTTGAAGAGTTGAAGAGCGGCCATTTTTGCTATACCGATTTCTAATTCTTCTTTTCCTTAGAAAGCTGGTTGCTTCGAAGGTACAACTTAGCGTTCGTTAACTTGTACACGTATCTTCTGGTGATCCGTTGAGTAGAGGCAGCTGTGGTGCTGGTCTCTGAGTTGCAAGCGTGCCGGGGTGGCTTGAACGCTGTGCTGACGGTAAGGTGGCTTGGACCTTGACCAGATAAGGATTGGGTTTCAATCCTCTTAAGTCAAGAGTTCTTGGTCGAACTTTGACTTTTTTGGCAAAATGAGCGCTTGTGACTCAAGTTACCTTCCTTTCAAATCTCAATGTACTGATCTCCGGTCCTTGGATAGGATTCGTGAGAGATCAATGAGATTGATTGGAAATTTGCACCCACAAAATTTTGTTCCGCTCTCTGGATCACTTACGAAAAGGATTCACAGAAAGTTTCACGGTCTTATGTGGTTATGTGCTGCACTCACAAAATTTGTTCCACTCTCTGGATCGCTTACGGAAAGGATACACAGAAAGTTTCACGTATTAATGTGATTATGTGCTCCACTTGACTACTCTTTCACTTTCTGGATCACTTACGAAAAGGATGCACAGAAAGTTTCCAAGTTGTCTGTGGTTGTATGGTAACACTGATTCTTTCCCACTCTCTGGTTCGCTTACGAAAAGGATGCACAGAGAGTTTTCAAGAATAGTTCACACGACCGACTGATTTCTCCTACACCTCTCTGGATCACTTACGAAAAGGATGCACAGAGATTTTCAGATAGTCAGTGGTTTTCCTTCCGATTTCTCTTACACCTCTTTGGATCGCTTACGAAAAGGATACACAAAGATTTTCAGATAGTCGGTTGGTTCTTCTTCCTGCCACGCGGGTCTTGTGGCCTCGATTCCTCCGGTTGCAGATGGAATACGAGGTGGTTTCACTGGTCGATGCACCAATTTGGTGGGAACCAAGTGTCGCAGGCGATAGTGGTGTCGATAATAATTTATCCACAGACGAACCCCGGTGTTGAACCGGGGGGAGCAACCTATAATACAATTGGGGGCTCCTTATATAGGTAGTAAGGCGGAGCTGACCCGTGCACAATCGGAATGTCCAGAAAATATATGCAAGAAAGAGGATGCCGCGGCTTGGCGCGGCTGGAAGATAGGTGCCACTCATTGGTGAGTGATTCGGCACTTAAATATAAGCGGTTGGGGAATATAGCCTACTAGCTGGCTTACCCGGCTCCGCCGTATGTTCCGAATAGAAAATTCCATTTCTTAACCGATCCGGACCAAACTTGGCACACATACACTTCGGGCCCCGGCGGGTGTCACAGTCCACTTTTCGTTATCGATCTATGTCGATTTTATCGATTTTTTGCAAAATTTGAGCTAGGGGCTGGAATTTGGCAGGGGGTGTAATCGAGCATGCTGATCACCCCCACGGGGGTGATCAGCATGCTCGATTACCCCCCTGTGCCAACTCCCAGCCCCGTAGCTCAAATTTTGCAAAAAATCGATAAAATCGATATCGATCGATGACGAAAAGTAGCCTATGACACCCGCCGGGGCCCGTAGTGTATGTTTGCCAAGTTTGGTCCGGATCGGTTCAGAAATGGAATTTTCTATTCGGAACATACGTACAGACAGACAGACAGACAGACAGACAGACAGACAGACAAACAGACATTCAGCTTTATATATAAGATGGGGAATACCCGTAAGCTATTAGGATTATAGAATTGTTGAGGTTGATGATAGATAAATCATCAACACTCAGGGCATTTTCCTAGGCGTCAACAGCGAATGAGAGCTGCTGGAGCATGGATGGAAAAATGCCCACAAAGTATGTGTTCACAAAAGCGAGGCTTGAACAGGCTGCTGCGCGACCTTTGCCACTATAGCTGTGACACTTACGTTGAGACGGTCTACTGTCACGGAAATCCCTCGTTCTAAGTAGCCTCGCAACTAACCGGCTGAAATCCCTCTTCATTCCTCTTCGAGGGATTTCAGCGGGTTAGTTGCAAGGTTAGTGGAACGTCCCCGCACCTGCTCTGACAAGCAAACGGAGCCGGGGGATAAAATTCTTTGCTCAGAAGGTTGCATCCCCATTTCCAGGTTAGTAGTTAGGTGTGGGAGAGGCGGGATCGCAATCGCCTTCAATAGAAAGCTCCGACCGTCTCTTGCGGTAGATTTTGAGCTTAAAGCTATCTCCTGCGAGCAAATCAGTTGAAAGACAGTAGTACTGAAGGAAGCTTCCTCAATTTTGGAAGAACCAAATAATGCAGCGCTAGAGGGGAAGAGATTTTGAAGGAGATCTGCCAAAAACGGCAAAAAAAATGGTGATCCTCTGTGATTACCATGCACGCATTGTCGCGTCTTACGCATCTATCAAAAACGTGATGATGCAAACAAGAAAAATCAGATACGATTACTGGACTAAGAGCGAAAGAATTAGACACCACCCACTGAACACCACGCTCAATACCGGAGAAGAATTATTCTTAAGCACATGCGACAGTAGAGGAGACGCTGGGAGCGGGAAGTTGTCAACACAAGAGTTGGCTATAAACATCAACACTTTCTTACAACTAGCAACCCGAATCGGACGCTTACGATTATCAAGATGTGGAGTAGTTCTAACCTAGAACGTTTCATTGCGCTTTTGGACACGCCCTGACATCAAGCTACGATGGGAACGTACTTGAAGCTTCTATATGGACTTGGAGAGGTTTTCAAAAGCTTACACCTTCTACAATCACATGGATCGTGATTTCAACGCTGAAATAGGAGCTAAAAAGTCGACTGCGAACCTTCGCATGAAACCCATGGATTACAATGGAAACAAGGAGGAGACGGTCTAAGTTCATCATGTTGACAATGACCACTCCTGAACTCGCAGTGTCAAAGGCCTTTCAAAACACTGCACCCGAGTAACACTCAAAGGAAAATACTTGAACAAGATTCACGTATCGTCCGCAGAGATATTGCCCAAAGGATTTCGCTGCTGCGGTATTCTACACGGGACCAGACCATCGTGTCCTACTTGTCAAGTTCTTGCCGAATGGAGAACGAGAGCCACTGAGAGACAGAGGAGAGACACGGTCGCGGATCGTGTTTCTGGGACTGTTTCACCAACTGGGATATGTTTTCTGCGATACCTCATTTTTGGCGAGTGACGTGATGGACAACATCGACGAGGAATACGAATGGTGCGTCCAGCATTTCTGTGACTGCGCTAAAGAACCGTGATGTTAGTACGAAAAAGCGTTTTTCGTTGTAGAGTTTGAAGCTGATTCGTCAGCGGGACGAGCCATAAGGCAACTACCGACGTACGAGCTTGAACGATGCAGAGAAGCGATAAAAAAAAAGTCGGAAGAGAGGAAGCGCAATGTTGTTGAAGCCGTTGTATGTGGAGGAAGTACAAGTCTTGCCGAAGCTTTTCAATTTTTAGACAAATACGACCGCACTTCGCCGCCCTGACAAACCATAACTGCTTTCCGAAGGTCGAGAGAAAGTCATTTACAACTTCTGCTCGCTTTTGACAGCCAGGTCCACCGGCCACCAACTTACCTCAAATAGGAGGTTCCTTCCGATCATCAGGTTATTCCATCAAAAACGCAAACACCCAGCCCGGAGCAAGATCAAACCAGAACATCTGAATAATCATTCGCCAGCCTCATGATGAGATGCGTATGACTACAGTCTGCCCCAATCCTAACCAGGCCAAAATCGGCATGGCGGGAGTCCGCGCCGCAAGGGTTTCGCGCCACATCTGCGGCTAGCTAGTCTGCTCTCTCCTCGATCTCTTCACTCTCTGCGGCAGCGCGCGTATGCAGCGCAATCCCCTAGCGCTGCGAGCGCGCATATTCAGCCGACGGTTCGGCCTGATCCCGATTGGGGCAGACTGTACGTAACCTTTGATTCAACTGGCTTGGCACCATTAGGGCGGGGTTTTGTGATCTAATTGAGGCCGCTCGCGCCCGCGACGCACTGCGTCTCTCTCGCGCGAGTGCTCTCTGATCATTACCTAGCCTTAATTAGGTCACGAAGCCCCGCCTTTGCCGATGCCAAGCCAGTTGAATCAAATGGTACTTGTCAGTGTCAATAACGCAAGCGCCGCGCGCGGCAGGCTGGCAGATTGGAACGGCCGGCGTAAGTCGCATGCAAAGGAATTTACCCTTAGTTGAGCTAAACTATGGTTTGTATTACTTTATATTACTTGTTTGAAGTCTGGCCACAAAATTGCGCAGGTTTTGTGGAACGGAACAGTTCCCCAGAACTATGCGATTTTCGGCGGAAATGGAAAAGAAACCAAGACTAACGATACAAGAAGCAAAATCTAGGATAATGGAATTCCTGCCCTAATGCTCCACGGGCGGGACTGTTACGCCACGTCGCGGCAATTCACAACTGCCCACAGGTAACGAGCGCCCTCCCTATCCCCTCATGACGGTTTTAGGAAGACCGGTACCTGGTAAAAGACAAGGTTCCAAGCCGATGGAAGACAAAGCGGCGGCTCTTCATGGTGCGCTGAGTCGCACCGGCACAGATGAAGTATAGCGCTTATGATTGAAGGCAAATAAGCGGTTCGCAATATTAAATAGGTAATTAACAGTAGAGGCCATGGTACTTATTCACTACACATTGTAACTCACCGAGAATCGAACCCAATGAGACAGGCACACTGTAGCTGACAAGACAGAAACGCAGCTCTAAACGCAGCTTTACACATTTGCGGTTCCTTTTTCGATAAATCTGTGATTCTCTGCTCGATCATACAGAATTTTTATAACAATCAGTAAATGGGCAAGACAGACTGAAACAAGCTGATTCAGTGAAAATGTGTTTGCAGATACAATGTGACCGTCAATGTGCTATGTACGAGTATCCTGGTACAAACTGTGAAGAAGCATGCATATCATCTTGTTTTCCCGTATGTCAGGGAAAAGCACTTCTACAGTACAATTTTCCTGGATATGGGCAACAGTAGACATTATTATGTCGTTTCTATTTATTTTAATTTGCTATGTTGTTGCACTTCAACTTTTTTCCATAGTTTCATAAATCTCAAAGTCATTCGTCGAATGGGATAATCCGCAATGAGGATTCGACAATGGCCATAAATCATAAAAGTGGGATTATGGGGCTCGTTGACTCGATCCTGTCCAGCTGTCTCCGCTTTTATTGCCACTAATTATTGTGACCGGAAAACATGTTTCAATGAAGGGAAAAACTAAATGGGAAGTCGTGAGATACTGACTGGGTACGAGAGGCTTTGATTTCTGTTTGTCTAGACCTTACAACTGCATGGTTTTCATACATCTAATTTTATCCATCTAATTTTATCCATCTAATATAGAGTAAGACGTGACCACATCTATGCAGTCTTGTTAATGTGATGTCACAATGGTATATCTGGGTTCTCGCAAAGACTCTCCCAAGAAACGAAGTCATTCCTCCACTTATCGTCACACTAACAGCCCTTTTATGGCCATTCCCAGTTTCGTACGGACATAAGATTCCCTAAAAATCCAATTCAGTCATTCCAAGATCTCTTTATAAAGGCCGATGAGAATCTGCTGATGCCTCAAATCCTCCTCTCATGTCCGGTAAATTCATCGTACAAGTCGTGTCGTTCGCTACTGGAGCAGCGACATTACTCTGTCTCATAGCTGTGCTCACTATTGTCAATGATATCAACTCGTTCTATAGCAATAGCATGACCGAGTTGAAGGATTTCAAGGTAAGAAAGACTAACAATAAGATAGAATCTGCAGTTGATTTCTCTATGTTCTTCCTTTCAGCGGATTGCGGACGATGCCTGGGAGGAAATGCTACATAGCACCAATCATATGCTTGCATCCAATTTTCTTCAAGACGCTCCCATCCGTAGAAGAAAGCAAGCTTCTAACGTTATTTGCAACTGCGTAGAAACCGAACAAAACTGTCCACCAGGCCAACCAGGACCCCCAGGAAAGACTGGTGCCCCTGGTTTGGACGGCACCCCAGGTGCTCCGGGTGAACCAGGTATCAACGGCACGCAGCCACTTTTCAGAAAAAGTATGACATGTCTCATATGCCCACGAGGACCTCCGGGACCTCCTGGCCCTGACGGTCCAGTGGGCCTGTCGGGACCAGCGGGAAGAGCGGGGATGCCAGGTCAGCCAGGAGAAATGGGCGAACGAGGAGAAATTGGTGAGGTGGGAGATGAAGGGGAGCCAGGACCACCCGGGTTCCCAGGACATACAGGATATCCCGGAATGAATGGCATAAAAGGCAAAGGTGGTCAGGGGCCTCAAGGAGCCCGTGGTCGTGAAGGTGAACGCGGAGCTCCAGGGAAGGCAGGTGTCAATGGTTCACCTGGAGATCAAGGACCTGTCGGTGCCACCGGAGCTCCTGGTAAGCCAGGTGAACGAGGACAAGAAGGACCACCTGGCGCAATTGGCGAAGTGGGAATGCCGGGTTCAGATGCTTCTTACTGCCGTTGTCCATCTAGGAGTGCTGTATTCGTAGAACGTCATGTTCGTACATTTCCATCAGAGTCCGTACCTCTCCCACCTAGCCCTAGTCCTAGTCCTGACATTGACGGACTCCCACCTAACCCTAGCCCTACTCCTGACATTGATGGATACAATTAGAACCGTAATTGAACCATAAATGTGCTAGGTACATTATTCGTGACAGGCTTATACACTGAATAAATCTTGTTTAATACAAGGTATATTGCAAAGCTGCCTCACACTACAAATGAAAGACATTGAATATTCCATTACTAGATGACACTCCGGCCTTACCCGGGCGAGGGTCTCAATCGGTCCATGCTGGTGTGACTTGTTACATAGAATACACCTGCTACATCATGCCTTGAGTCACCCCAACCTCTTCATCGTGAGATGACAATGAGCTTCACCGCTGGTCTTACATGACAGTGAGGAAATGCTCGGTCAAAACGAAAAAACTTTCTTTTCTACATATAAGTATCATAACTTATAATAACGGGGTAACGGTGTTTACGCTTTTTTGTGTGTGTGTGTCTGTCTGTCCGTTACGAAATTCGTAGAGCGTGTTCCAGCCAACGTCCAGAGCCCAGCCCAAATTTTGCGTGGCGCATGATAGCTGCATCAGGGCTCGGCACGAGGTGGCTTACAAGCAAGCTGGATATCGTTTTTGGGACGAAAAGCAAAGGGGGTTTCGTTTTTGTGACCGAAGAGACACGGAAAATTGGCGACGGCGACCTTTTTTTTTTAGTCGACGTTTTTGGGGATTTTGGGGAAATTTGGTTGAGGGTCAAAGGGGACTTCGTAAAAATTCCCAAAAGTCAAGGGGGACTTCGTTTTTCCATTTTCATCTAGCCACCTCGTGCCGAGCACTGAGCTGCATGAAAGTCCATTGTGCAAAAGTACAGGCGGATCCGATAAGTGGTTCCCCCGAAAATTGCGCTTCAAACGGGTCCACTTGGCTTATGGCCAACAGAAATGGGCCTGTGCCACCACTTTTTGCGAGGTCATGGATATGATTAGCAAGCTAATGTGCAAGCCAAGGACTTTAGCCCAAAAATGGAACTAAAGTTCATCACTTCACGAAGATGGCGTCGAAAACAATTAGTTGCGTAAATGTCCAATTTGCCAAGATTTTACCTGATCATTTGAGATGATTTTTGCACAGAGATGTAGCCCACGGTGATCGTCGTCGTTATGGTGACTATCAAACCATAAAAAAGTCCAAAAATCTGTTCAAATTTGCATCTATTCTTCTCGGAAAAGTTTCATCCACGCGAAAATACCGATCTCACGTAAAAAAAACTTCTCGGAATGAGTAGTTGTTTACAAATCATTCGTGATAGCCTGATAGCGCGATGAGTGTTTCAAAGTCATTATTAGCGGGAATGAGTAAGTCATACAGAAAGTAGGGCCAGTGGGAGCCTCTGCGAAGCAGAGGTGACGCACTGGTACGAATGATAAAGCAGTAAAGCGGCCCAGTATGTAAACCGCCTCAGAGTAGCCTGTAATGATCTACGGTGTCGGAATCATATGTGTGCAAAGTTTCAGCTCAGTTGGTACACGCACAATGCCGTCTGTAGAAACATACATGACATGCGCACAGACAGACACGCAGATTTTTTGCTTTATATATAGAGATTTTAGGCGTTTTATCACTTCGATAGATGTCTACTCTGTGAAAAGAAAATATATTTGGGTTATATTAATGTTAGCTTGGAATGCATGGTGAGAAGGCAGTGTTTTGTTGAAGTGTGAAGTTTTGCAGTGTTCAGGACTTTCAGAAGAAAGTTAGTTCAGCAACAGCGGTGACCTGTGATCTCGCCACCGCTGAGACCTAAAATCACATTCTTCCATGCTGCATCTCATTCACTGTCAAGTGATTCATCGATCAAGTGGTTTTCAGTATATGATTACCATAGTTCTCCTTCTTCTTCAGTGAGAGCATAGCATAGCAAACTTCCATAGCAAACTGCCACCCAAGCTCAATGTTGTAAATTATTTTTGGTATTGAATAGCTCTTCTTCCAGTTTTTGATTTTCTTGGAGCTTTACGTGGTCCATAGCGAGCTCTAGCGGGTTAGAAATTCGCTTTCAAAAGGTTGCATAGAGCAGAGTGTTGACTCTAACGTCTGTACCAAAATTTCTGAGCCAAAAATAAATCCATTGCAGATACGGAAGACAGCTTTAAGACCACCGATACAAGGACTACACAAAGCGTTTGGCTCATCTTGAAAGCTCTGTTATCCTTCTCTTATTACGGATTTTTAACATCTCCACTGTCAACACAGTAGAATGACTTTTCTCCCATCTATTTGCGCAATGCCCACATTGTGTGTAGGTGTGTGTGTGCAAATGGATAGCTCAAGAGCTTGTTGCGTTCAAGTGCCAGATAACAGTTCTTGAAGTTACTGATGTACTTGCTGATTCATCAGTTAACCACACAGAGCTATGTGATCACTTCAACTCACACAAAATCTTCGTTTCTCTTCGAATTTCTAAGTAAATTGCCCTCAAAATGCAATCGCCGCCTTTTTGCTGTCAGCGTCATGCCGGCACTGGGTATATCTTTCCATTCAATTCCTCCACCCACCGGATTATTGGATTTTCGTCAAAGTCGCAAACATTGTTTCCGCGTTTATAGTCTGACTTCTACACTGTTGGAGAATTTCGGGGAATATGCGAATAAATGGGTAGATAAGTAATTTAGTTTATTTGCTTTCTTGTATGTATTGGACTCCTCTCCGTGGGCTGTTAGTCTTCCTCAACATTTTTGAAATTTCTTGTCCACCACTGATAAGAGATTTTTCTGATCCGGGCGGCAGAAAGGAAATACATCTAGTCTAGCTCAGGTCGCGAAATTAGACAGTGAAAAACAATCGTACATTACATGCTATGATACCGTTGAATACTGAAGTCGAATCCGTTCTACGTTAAGTCAATTTTTTTTTGCTATCTATTCCTTCTAGAACTTCACCCATTTACTTAAGTCATTGACTACAGTCGAATTTACTCAACTCTCTAACCCCGTTCACGTTTTTGTTTGCTGATGCAAGGGCTTCTTTAAGCCATCCTATCCCTCGCAGAGTGACAAATCTAAACGAACTCTGTGCCTCTTCAAACTGTCACCTCAAGAGGTGTAGAAGCCAGTCTTGCAAACACACACTTACTCCTGAGAGGACAAATGATATAGTGTGTACTGATAGCTACTTTCAGTTGCAGTAACAGTATCTTTGCTTACCCTGCACCGCAGTAACGACAGCAGAGTTCCTAATTTCTTGATACCATCTTCCTTATCGCATTTCCTGTATTTTGAAATCATGTTATGCTAGCATCTGAATGCCATCAAGGAGCGAACATAGTGTACATGTGCTTCAAATGTACTATAGCTTGGATCTCATTTCAAGAGATAGTCTCAACAAAAAATGCAAAATTGGAATTTTTTTTTGATTGATCAAAAGCACTCAAAGAGCAATTTCTATTAATGTAAAAGTAGATGACAAATTTCTAAAGATATTTTTGGTTCTCATTTTTAGCTTTGCTCTTCCAACTGCATAAAAAAGTTACCTTTCCAGATTTTCTCGTAAAAAGAAGTTTGTGCATTGGTAACTTTTCAGATATATTTGAAAGGAAACTCCAAGAGCTTTCGGACATTTTACAGATAGCTTTCGATCGATTTGTAAAATGTCCGAAATCTGAGAAGGATTATTTCTTCGGTTGACAATAAACTACACAATGCAGCTCAACACCATTCAGACCTTATCGCTAAGCGCAGCCATTCTGTACTCTTAAATACGAATTTGTCAAGCCCTTATATGATTTTGTCCCGAAATTCTTCGGTAGCTTTCAGTTAGCTTCTTGCCATCAGGAAAATTTGCTTCAAATATAATTTTTGAAGAAAAATTAGCTTTGTAAACTTCTTGCTATTTACTTGCAATTAGATGCAAACGGAAGAAGCAGATCCCTCAAGCTTCCGTCATGTATCATTTGATCGTCAAAAACTAGAAACGGTGCAGAAAAAGTTGGAAATCTAGGTGCATCAATCTAGGTGGTGGTTTTATAGCCTTTCTTTCTCACTGAAAAGTATGCCAGAATTATTCTACGGAAACTATTGGGGTGTCTCTTATTTCTTTTATTCTTCTCTTTATTCTATTATTCTTATTTCTTTATTTTTTACCGTTTTAACTGCAACCGTCGTCTTTTTGTATCTTTCCTTCATTTGATGTGCCTTGAGTGATTATTCGACAGGGCAAAGCAAACTCTACATGATGGCTATCAAGAGCCTGCCCAAATCGTATCCCACCTGAAGTTTTGAGCTGAAATCTGATGACAGTCGAAAACGAACTTCACTATTAAAAACCGCATCTACGCCCAAAAAAATCTTAAAAATTCCTCATTTTTCCTAGCATATGCTTGACCAGTCGGACATTCAGTTGTACATTTCCTTATTTTTCCATAGCTCGAAATGAAGAAAATAAATGAATGAAAGGCAAACTTTACCTGTAGGCGTTTTGAGCTCCTCCCATGCACGTAATCATAAGCTCATACATACTAGATACGATTACGTATTTGTACACGATTACGTATTTGTACACTTTGTAGGTGTCCTTGTACTTGAGAAATGCTGATGTTTAGGGTAAAAAAGGTAAAAAATTATGAGACACCCCAATATGTTTCGAAAAATACCCAGAAAAAATTTGATTTGCTTTTTTGTACTGTTGCTTCGAGAATTTAACTTTCTAGTGGCCTAGCAAGGAAGTCTCTTGATTAAGACCCGTGAGAATTCTGTTTACCTCAAGTTTGAAGAGCTTAGCTCAAACTTTGCAAAAATTCGATAAAATCGATATCGATCGATAACGAAAAGTAGCATACGCCCCCGAAGTATATGTGTGGGAAGTTGGGTTCGGATAGGTTCAGAAATGGAATTTTTTCTATATGGATCTTACGTATACGCATGTAGACATGCGGACCATAGACGAGCAGACAGACATATGCGCTGCTGTATGACGAAAGCACAATATCTTTGGGCGCGAACGCGGCCGCAGAGCGCATGAGACGATTCACAATGGTGAAGATGGCGCGCGCCGCGTTTGCGCCCCCCTAACCAATACAGCCTCTGCGCCTTCGTTATGCAGTAGCCCC